TTTTCAATCACTTTTTTTTTTTGGTACAATTTTTTTATATAGTTTTGTTTGTAACAAAACTACACAAGCAAATTCCTATCAATAATTTTCTTTTCCTTTCTATCTTCAATAATTTTGTTTGCAACAAAAGCAAACGTGAACAAGAGAAAGTAATTTTGACGTTCTTTTTTCTCGTTAAAAATTGAAAAAAAATAAAAAAAAATAAAAAAAGAAGAGTCCTAACTGGAAGGATTTTAGAGTTTACGTGAAACAAGTACGGATTTAGTTTTATTCTACAATATTATTATTATTATCATTATTATTATTATTGTTGTTGTTATTATTATTATTAATGTTGTTGTTATTAATAATATTATTTATTTCGTGTTGTGTCATGACTTGTTTAGTAATTTGGAATAGTCAAAAGGGATTTTGATAATGTGAAATAATAGTAGAAAATGGACGAAAATTAATGGTTTTAGATAAATGTATTGCTATTTTGACGGGTTACCATCCACGACCTATATAGGAGTGCAATAAGAAAGAGCACTTATTGTATTTCATTTTCCTTTTTTTGGAGACAAAAAATAGGCTTTGACCATCTATTTGAGATTAATAAACCACATATGAGTCTCAATTGATTAGGTTACAAGTTAAAATATTTTTAAATTCAGAATATTAATTTTGAAAAAACTCAACATATTGATTTTTTGGAATATAGTATTGTAATTTGAATTGTTTTTACATATCAAAATATCTAATAATTTATGAAATCCTTTGTTTGACCTGATAATTGGGTCAAATGTACTAATTTAATCCGCTATCAACAAATAATGCAATTCTTCCATTGCATCTTGAATATTGTTGTTATTTTTCTTAATAAATTAATTATTAGATTACCTGAAAAGAATTGAAAATAATGTGTTTTGTATTACATGGGTGTTGTATTTCAACTACTTAATTATCAAATATTTATTAAAAAAAACTACATAAATACAAGATACTATATGTATATATACACATCTACTGATAAATTAAATAATAATAAAATAATATAAAATGGTTTTTGAAACTAAAATTATTTTTCTAATATTTTAAAGGCCCAAGGCCCATGCACTTAACAAAGCCCATGTTATCCTTCGGACCTTAGCCCAGTCGACGTTTAGTTGTCGTCTTCATTTAGCGGCCTGAAAATTCAACAAGCTCAATCTCCATGAATTGCATCTTCTAATATTTTTTGTTTTTGTGGCGAATAATAAAGAGCTAAAAATCTCTGAGCTTTGTTTCACATCTCTTTTTCCCGGTTGAACTTTTGCAGTTTCCTATTTGAAGGCAAAAATGGCTCGGGAAGGTCCCAATTGGGAAGGGTTGCTTAAATGGAGCCTCGCACACTCGGATGGTACTAACTCTTCTCCTAATCTGAGGTAATTTCCCAAAATTTCTCATGAATTCTTAAAGTTTTGTTTCTATTTAAGTTATTGTTGTGTTGCTTGAAGATATGGAGATATGGGGTCGTGATTGGTTCGTTGTAGGTGATGGGGTTCGTTTGAAATTGTTACTGTTTGTGTTTTTCTTGTTCATAGTTCAAGATGAAAAAAAAAAGATCGTCTGTTTTAAACTTCTTTTTTAATTTTTTCTTTTGTTTATGTGTAACTTATTATTGAGTTGCTTGAAGATATGAGTATATGGGGTGGTACTGTTCGTGATTTTCTAGCTCAAAGTTGAACATATAAAGATTCTCCTTTTGAAACTTCTTTTTAAACTTTCACAGTGAGGAGGATAGAAAGTGGTTTATGGAAGCAATGCAGGCACAGACGGTTGACATTGTTAAGCGAATGAAAGAGATAACACTTGTTATGAAGATCCCAGAGCAGGTTTTGGAGTCTCAAGGGGTAACTCCTCAAGATATTGAAGGTGTTTGTTAATAATGCATACTATCACTTAAACAACAGTTCTTTTTTCTTTTTTCTTTTCATTTGCAAAGATTGGTGGGTATTGATTCTTTTTCCAAGATTGTAGATATGTTGGATGAGCTGCAAGAGCATGTTGAATCAATTGATATGGCAAATGGTTAGTTTTTTAGTTATCCCAAATGTTATCAAACATCAATTGTTTTTCCACATTCAGGGCACACATTGACTAGATTTAGCTGGTTTTTTTTCACGGTGTGCATTGTTTTAAAGCCTTTTGCTTGGTTCATTTTGTTTTGTGAATAGCTGTTAACATGCTGAATGATGGATTAACCTTTGTACTGGAGCTTTTTAGTTTTACTAGTCAAATGTGTTGTAGCTAAAGGATTTTTTTTTTTTCCAACCATCCGAGCTGATATTTTTGAGAACCGAGTCTTAGTTTGCAACTGTAGTTAACTTTTTTTGACAATTTGTGTTTGCACAAAGCAGTGATTGTGGTGAAATGCTTTCTGTATTTATCATATTTGCATGATAACTATAATACTTTTAAAGAATGGTATATGCAAGCCAATGCTCTGAAGCTCTGATGTTTTGTTTTGTGTTATTTTTTGTCATTTTTCTTTCTCAATAATAGTTTAGTCTTTTGGGTCAATCATGTTTTTTTTTCTCCAGATCTTCACTCTATCGGTGGCCTAGTTCCTCTCATTGACTATCTAAAAAATTCACACGCGAACATAAGAGCAAAAGCTGCTGAAGTTATTAGCACAATCGTCCAAAACAACCCGAGAAGTCAACATCTGGTCATGGAAGTCAACGGTCTCGAGCTGCTTTTGTCGAATTTCACTTCGGATACTGATGTCACTGTCCGTACAAAATCACTCGGTGCAATTTCATGTAAGTCACTCTTGATAAAGCAAGAAAGATTCAACTCTTCATTTCGATGCAATTTCATGTAAGAGTGTGTTTGTTTATAAATAAACTCGATTCATACTCAAAATCTAACTCAGTTTTAACCAACCCCGATATCCTCAATATTATCAATATAATTAAATAATACCAATCAATCAATCTTACACGTCACATCAATTTTAACTATTCATCCACACTTAGATCATCTCTCTCATACTTTTACATCAAATCAACTTTTATTATTTCATTTTAATATAAATTCAATAATCCATCAACAACTAACCATACTATCTTTTTCAAAATTAACTTTGGTTAACTAAAAAAATGATATATTTGTATCTAAGCACGCTCACTCTAGAAAAAGCAAGAAAGATCCAACTCTTCATTTGATCGACGTTTTTGTTTTTATTTTTTATATTCCTTTTATTTTCCTGATGTTGTCTTTTCAGCTCTTATCAGGCATAACAAGCCTGGAATCACTGCATTTCGCCTGGCCAATGGTTATGCCACTCTAAGAGATGCTCTAAGTTCTGAGAATGTGAGATTTCAAAGGTAAAGACTATCTGAGATTCTTTGCTTTTTCTCTTTATGATTCACTTTTATTACTTTCGAAACCGGAGGAAGATGGTTTTCTTTCTTTTAATCTTATACTTTCTCAACAACAATGATTGATGCTTTTCTTGAACTGCGTGAAAAAACGGCGTGCTCTTATTTTTTGAATAAATATTATTATCATCTTCAGGAAAGCACTCAACTTCATTCAATCTACTCAACACGAATCCCTCACATTGTGGGGCCATTACCGAACTCGGATTTCCTCATATTTTCTTGCAACTCGCGTCAAGCGAGGATGCCGATTTACGTGAAGCTGCACTGAAGGGCCTATGCCAGCTGGCACAAAACCGTCTAACTGGAGAAGACGAGGAGAAACTGAAACAAATCCTACAAGAGAGAGTTAAAGGGATCAGCCAGTTGTCAGGTGAGGAAAGGCAGTTAGTGGACTCCCTTTGGAGCATTTATAATCACGGGCCTTGTCCTCTGCGTGAAACGGGCTTCTTGTCCGGCTCAATGAGGATGTAAAAGTGACTGATGATAAAAAAGCTAGCTAGCTGCTATTGTAAAAGTGTTATTATTTAGTTTTAACAACTTCGCTTATAATACATGAAGACAAATTTCTTTGTTACTTAATTTCAACAACTTAAGAGACATGAAATGGAAATCACATATACATTTGATGGCTTCACTTACCAAACCCCAACCAACTCAAACAACACAAACAATTGCATTAAAATCAGCAAATAAAGAACAATTTTCAGCTCACATCCCATAAAACCCTTGTTCTTCCCTCTTCCTCTTCCTACCTGATCGCAAACCGGCATTTATTTCGGGAGTCTTAAGGAAAGAATCATCATTGGCCGAAAAATTTCAAAAATCGTACAAATCCACTTTCAAGACCGTCGCCGGTGATTTTTTCCCTCGAATGAGAATTTCACGGTCTCGTGCTATTAGTTTCGCCATTATCCTTCGGCACTCGATCAAACCATCCTATTACAAATCGTGTCGAACCAAAATCTTGAAAAACTTAGTCAATAGAAAGAAAAAGAAAAGGAAAAAAAAATATATATATTTTCTCTTCTTCTTCCATCAATTCACCTTCTGATCTTGAGGAATGAAAGTTTCCAAATGTCCAAATGTGGCATTTTTTGCGGATGTTTTTATTACACATTGATCAAGTGCACACCTCACTGCTGACATGGCCACAACACATTGCTTGAACTCCAAGAATTCAGGATCTGAAAATTGGCTTTTTTTTTTTAACTAACTTTGATGATGAAAAGGAAAAACATAATTAGTTCTAGATTTTTTTGGTACCTAAGATGACACAGAGTAGTAACTCGGTTGCTCGTTTAGTCAAGTCATCGACACTTTGTGCCAATATATGGACATAAGAAAATGGAGTAATAGAATTTATTCTCCATGCTAAGGTCTTCAACACTGTTAATTCCGTTCTTTGGATTAGAGTTGGAGCAAAGCAAGCATCCACAAAATCCACCTGAAATATAATAATCAGTATAAATTCATATATATGCACATTTTGTAGCATTAATTGAAAAGATTTTATGTGTGACCTGAAAATTATGTAGTGAGTGACAAATTGTTTCATTAAACTTTGAAGCAATTGATATACATGCCACAGACAACAAATCAAACATCCAGCTTTTCCAATCCTGAAATTCAATTCAATTCAATTTAATTTAATTTAGTGTAACAATCAACATGAAGTAAAATAAATTCTCTCATTTTTCAAGCTCGTAAAAAAATCGTGATTCGTACTCTGCATCGAGCGATTGAGATGAACCGGTCGAGGTAATTCACGGCGAGAAAAACGGTTGCATCCCACAAATTCATCCTTTTATGAGCCTAATACAACATTTGAACAACATAAAGCACATTACTATAATTAGTAAATAATTAAAAAAGGAAATTAATCAAATTATACTATATTTTACCTTAATGAGCCAATTGACCGATTTAAACCGAGCATTACGGATCGTGTCGCTGCTCCCGACAAGCTCCGAGTAGCCTCGTTCGGGCAAATACATAATCTCCTTCACTAGGAACATACCAAAAGCCTCCTCACAATCTTCTTTTGTCCGAAAGACTCGATTTTTTGCGTCGTGTTCGTCGTTTTCTTGAGCATAAGGTTTGCTATTATTAGGACTCATTTGCAAAACTTCATTACACAACAAACTTTCCATCCTCATACATTTAAGGAAAAAAAAAATATGAAGTCAATAGTTTAAGAAGATCAAAGTACAATTGTCAATGTTACATAAATGTTGAAATAATGATTGATTATGTAATATTGTACTTAACAAGTTAACGTGTTTGTGAATATATATGTAGTTGTACACATATATGAGTGTGTGTGTGTGTGTGTAGGTTGGTGGTGGTGGAGTACGGCGGTTAATAGGTGGTGGGCCGGAGGTGTGGTGGTGGTGAAGTTATATATAAAAATGGGGGCATGTTTCTCATGACAAAAGCGTAAATGGCAAGAGAAAGATGTTATTCATATTTTAATTTTGGAATTTATATTTTTGTAGAATTGTTAGAATTGTTGAACGAAACAGAGTCGGTCGTGAACTCGGCACTGCTTGTTAGATAGACGAGCTAATCTCGAGCTTGTTGAAAGCTCATTAAATCGGGGTTTGGTTCAGCTTGAAAATAAAAACTTTTATGTAACTTTTCTATTTTAGCTTGTTAATGTTTGATTTTGACTCGTTAAGCCTTGAACTCAACTCGTAAATATTGATAAATGAGCTAAAATCGAGCTCGATTATTGACTCGTTAAGTTAAAAAGTCGAACTCAGCTCGGCACGACTCACTAAAGGCTATGCTCAAGCTCGGCTCGGCTTGTTTATACCGTAATAATAGTTAGACAGTCATATTTTTTTAATATATATATATATAGAATATATATAAAATACTAAATTGTCTTGTTTTAAAATATAATATATATAAAAATATGACAGTTCAATTTTTATAATATAAATTTTATATTTTTTAAGAAAATATTGTTGTCTACCTATCTAGATAGGTTAAGAACAACATAAATGAAAAATGGAGTCTCATAAATTTACATAAACACACTTAACAACATAATTATTTATATCTTGCATATTTTCACTATTGTATTTTATTTATTTATTTATTTATCTATTTATTTTGCCAGCCAATTATGGGCTTTGACTGCAGTAATTTAATACGTGATGGCACGAGAAATGGCCGCCTTACTATTCATGGATATAGGTGGGCTGAAATAATAGTATTATATTGATTTTGGGCCTCTCATCTGATTATACCAATTGTGGGATATCTTATGGCAATTAATATGAGAAAATTATTTCCCTTACTAATTATTTGGCGAATAATATTAAAACTAGTATAATACCAATATATTACATGGGTATTTGTTAAAAAAGATATTTTTAAAATTAAATAATAATAACAGCAACAATTGTTTAAAATTAAATATATGTATTTATTAGGCTAATTTGAGGTTTTCATGAAAATTAATGAGCCGATTGAGAGCTTAAAAAAAAAATAAAGTAATATTAGTCAATCAATACCATTACCAAATGTTCCAATACAACTTAAGGGTTAGGAATTACCAAGTTAGTTTTTCAAAATTTTTGGAATATCTGAACCTAAAATTATTGATTTAGAATAATATTATTTTTTAACCAAACCAAACTACGAAGCATGTTTTTTCGCCAAGTAGGATTACGAAGCATGCGAGGCTGTCACTTCGACTCAGTGCATTCTACAATTATATATAAGGAGGATTACGAAATGCTAAACTTTTCATCACAAATACGAGAGATTTAATCTATATATTTAGTTCTCATCGCCACCTCTCTCTCTCTCTCTCTCTCTCTCTCTCTCTCNTTCCCTGCTCTCTCTCTTCCTTCTCTATCTATTTCTCATGCGGCTGCTCAAATCGCACAAGGGCAAGACGGTCTCTTGAGGCGGCAAAAGGAGCTGTGGCGCAGCATAGAAAGAATGGAATAACGATATCTTTTTTTGTTCCACTTTCAATTTATTAATCGGCGGCTAAGTATTAATTGATTTTCTCCATTTTTTTTCTTTTTTTCTTTTTTGAATTTTTTTCTCAATTCGTAGACCACCCACCCCCATCACCCTTTTGACGGCGGCGGTTGGAGAAGGTCGTGACTGGGGTAAGAGTCGCGATTGGAGGTGTGTATGGCGGGTAACGAAGGCGGATCGAAAATCAGCGGTTCTGACGGCGACCCAACTCCTCTTTTTACTTGTTATGGTTCATATCTCAATTCAAATACAAAATATGAACTAAAATCAATCAATCCATCCATCGGCTTCGAGCAGTGCTATGATTCACCCGTGCAATGTTGAAGATGCACCAGAGTTCGTTGAGGAGATGAGGGGGTGACGTTGGGAGTGGTGACTAGTGAGGTCAATCAATCCCATTTCAAAATTATTTATATGTTGTTTATCTTATGTATAACTACATTCGATTTGGATTTTGCAGTCATTCAAAATTATGTATTATGTTTTAATCCCGTTTCAGAATTGTTTATATGTTGTGTATCTTATGTTGTTTATATGTTGTTTATCTGAACATATATTTAGTGGTTGGACGATTTTTTTTTTTCGAATTCAAGATGTCGATTAATCGTTTGAAATTTTGAATCGTGAATCCATTAATTCTAGGTATTAGATTTGGTATTTTTTTTTTCTAATTTTCGTTTTAGTAATATGTAGAGAGAGAAAATGATCAGCATGTGTGAGAAATATCATCTCATAGATATGAAGAAAAAAAATTACATTAAGATCCCATTTTAATAAAAGTTTATATGGAACATAAATGTGTAAATATTTCTCTTTGGGAATCTATATATGTAAATTTCCTATTTAGAAGGCAAAAGTCCAATAAATATGAGAAGGATACGATAATTTCAGCCCAAACCCACCAAATTATTGAAGCATTGTTCACTTATATTCGCAAATATGTTCATTTAATATTTTTTTTTTAATATTTATTAATTAATAACCATTTACCTGTGATCGACTCGTAATAAGTTTATACATTATAAATAAAAAAGTTCTTTAATTAGGCAATTACACTACATTTATAAAAGTGTAGTTGAATTTCACAGTTTTGTTATGGAACCATCGAATTGTTCGACTTAGGGAGTCATCCATACTTATTCACCAATAGTGTATTGACAAGTGTCCTGTAATAAATACATTTTGGACAGGTGACAATACATTAAGTAGTGGATGACTCCATAAGAAAACCATCCGATGGTTCTATAAAATTTTTGTTCATCAGTATTTTTCAAACATATTTGAAGATAGGGGAATTCTTGCAACATATAAATTATTGAACAAACCATATTGTCCCAATTAATGTAATACTTGCACATACAAATCAATATCGTTTTTAGAATAAAGTTAATAAATAAGTGATGTTCTTTCCATGTCAAAGAATCTTCCAAGTGTAAAGCTAAAAACAATTTCTCAAATTCTATTCATGTTTTTTATTTTCTTTCAAAAATAAAGTACTTTCAAAATAAGAATTCATTTAAATTAATATGCGAATTGGGTTAACGAATTATGTATTGGAAAAATCTGAATCGTTGCTCATGGTAAATGTATTTAAGCACATGTATATACACATTTTTATGTGTTTTCACATTCTTATGTGACTAAATATTAAAACCTAAAAGGAGAATTTTAATATATATTATATTTTTGCATCATTTTAATTATTAATTAAAAATATATATGTCATATTCTCACCTACTAAGTTGTATGATAAAGCTTTTTTAGATTAATTTTTTTCAAATGCACATGATTTAACTTGCACAAAAGATAATCCGATGCTTGTGCTACACAATATTAAACTCCACTAGTCAAACAATTATTTCACGATAAGTATTATCATCTTTTAAAGCAGTCCCGCAAATGGTGCAAATGAATCATTAATTTCTTTAACATGCGTGCAAAATGTTGACTTTTAATTATTTAAACTACCAATAATCAACCTAGCTTTTGACATTTTAATAGCATTATCACAGATCTTAATATCGAACCGCACCATGTAATTGCCATTAATATAATGGACTTTGTGGAATTTTGAGGTCATTTAGATGTTTGACAAAACATTTGATTTAATTGTTTGGTAAATAATGAGTAGTTTGAATAATTTTTCGAATTTAAAAGGTTAACTTCGGGAAGGTTCAATATAAAAACTTTTCGAAATAGACAATTACTTAAATTATTAGTTTTCACATAACAGGCTAATTAATTACCAAATAGTTTGCATAATTCATCAATCTAATCAACAAGTCGAAATTGTCGATTCAATCAATACGGTATTAACTAATTCAATTAGCTAAAAGCTACTCCCTCCATTTTGAAATATAAGGCATTTAAGGTTATTGCACAAATATTAAGGAGACATTAATTAATGAATAAATTGACTAGTTTAACCTTATTTACTTTAATCACAACCACTCCACACTTCCTTAATTTCAACACAATGAGGGTATATTTAGAAAAAAATGCAAAAATTTGTCTTGATTTTTGAGCGCGTCTTATATTTCAAAAAAATTGAGAAATCTTTATACGCTTTATATTTCAAAATGGAGGGAGTATGTGCTAATTAAAGTTAATTATTTATCAAAAACTTTGCATAATCTATATATATCTAAAAAGGTTGATGTAAAAATCATTTTTAGAAATTTAAAATAAATTGAGTTGACTTTTGACTTTCTATTTATGTAATCTCAATCAAATTTTGAAAAAAAAAACGTGAATAAAAAAAAATCGTGAATAGGATTATGTAATTGGTATTCCCGTTAATTAAGTATCAGATCCCATTAATTAAGCAAATCTGTTACGAAAATACACAAATTCTGTTAATTAAGGCATTATATATTTCCCTTTTTTTAGGGATGGATATACCTTTAACGTGATAAGATATATACATGTGATTACATATTTTGTTGTTGCATCCCAAAAATCATGGTATTTAAAATCTATCCAAATACAATCCATAATTATCTTATCACTTTTGTTAATAAAAAATTGTATAAAAGAATATTCACTACCACCATTACAACTCATCATTCACGAGTTCAGAGAAAAAAAATACAGAGAATAATTTTTCATCGCATATACAATATAATGCTTCCAGGCTGGGGTACACTTGATATATAATGCTTCCAGGGTACGTTAACAAAAGAAACAAACCTTTTTTTGCGTTTGAGAGCAATCCGCATTATTGAAACCCATCACGAACGGGAGAGCTATAACACATTTTCATGATGAACAGGTAATATTTACCTTTGTTATTTCAATTTTATATAATTTAGAAAATTATTTTAATTAATATTTATAACAAACCTTTTTTGCGTTTGAGAGCAGTCCGCATTATTGAAACCCATCACGAACGGGAGAGAGCAGTCCGCATTATTGAAACCCATCACGAACAGGGGAGTTGTAACGCATTTTCATGATGAACAGGTAATATTTACCTTTGTTATTTCAATTTTATATAATTTAGAAAATTATTTTAATTAATATTTATAACAAACCTTTTTTGCGTCTGAGAGAGCAGTCCGCATTATTGAAACTCATCACGAGCAGGCTGGGTACACTTGATATATAATGCTTCCAGACTGGGGTACGTTAACAAAAGAAACAAACATTTTTTTCGTCTGAGAGCAGTCCGCATTATTGAAACCCATCACGAACGGGAGAGCTATAACGCATTTTCATGATGAACAGGTAATATTTACCTTTGTTATTTCAATTTTATATAATTTAGAAAATTATTTTAATTAATATTTATAACAAACCTTTTTTGCGTCTGATAGCAGTCCGCATTATTGAAACCCATTACAAACGGGAGAGAACAGTCGACATTATTGAAAATGGGAGAGCTGTAACGCATTTTCATGATGAACAGGTAATATTTACCTTTGTTATTTCAATTTTATATAATTTAGAAAATTATTTTAATTAATATTTATAACAAACCTTTTTTTGCGTCTGAGAGCAGTCCGCATTATTGAAACCCATCACGAGCAGTCCGCATTATTCAAACCCATCACGAACGGGAGAGCTGTAACGCACTTTCATGATGAACAGGTAATATTTACCTTTTTATTTCAATTTTATATAATTTAAAAAATTATTTTAATTAATATTTATAACAAACCTTTTTTGTGTCTGAGAGCAGTCCGCATTATTGAAACCCGTCACGAACGGGGGAGCTGTAACGCATTTTCACGATGAACAGGTAATATTTACCTTTGTTATTTCAATTTTATATAATTTAGAAAATTATTTTAATTAATATTTATAAATTTGTATCGAAGGTGCTTTCATTAAATGCATAATACGTTATCCGAATATGAGAGCAACAAACTTTATATAAACTGAGAGCAGTCTGATTTTTGTAAAATATGTAAACTTTAAACGTGTTTTATATATAAAATTTTATATACTTTTAAACATGTTAGTTGGGCAAATTTTAAGGATATATATATGTGTGTGTGCTAACTTTAAGTATATATATTTTTCTTATAAAATAGTCTAGACAAAATTGAGGTAATTTCACATTTTTCAATAATAATATAAAATATTTTAATACCTTCACATATGTTATATAATAGTCTGCGTATTCTTAATGTCTTTTGGTTGTAACATTGTTAACACATATAATATTAGATACTTTTAAACATATTTAGATATTTTTTTTACTCATTCTTTAATATCTATGTGCATAAAAAGAGAATAAGATTTATAAAAAATTTTCCGGCAATATACTAAATGTTAGATAAAAATCTCATTTTATTTGTTATATAATATAATATTTCGAGTTGCATTAATTTTGATTTGTGTGTGTAAAATTGATAAATTAAGCGTATGAAAAGGAGCGTACGAATTACTGTAAGGATTTAAAAAATAAAAAATAAATCTAATTTTTGAATATTTCCTAAACGAATTTAGGTCATAATTTGTCATAATTTTCCCACATCATGTCAATATTTATTTTATCTATACTAGGTAAAAGGTAAATCATTATCTCAATATTTATTCTATATATTCTAAGTAAATCTTCTCATCTATCTCAACGGTCCGCAGGTAGTATTTCATACTTTTCTATTCATAATCAAATATACCAAACCTTCACAAATTTTACTTCACAAAGAAAGTGTTCAATAATTTATATTTTTTTTCCTTCTTTGCAATCCATTTATTTTTATTACATATATATAAATTATATTATTTTTAATATTTCACACGTTAAACATTTTAGGAAAATATACCATCCCGTGCATCGCACGGGTACTGTACTAGTTTTGCTAAGAAAAGAAAAAGGAAAAAGGAAAACCAATGTAATCAAATAAACTTTTTTTGCTTTTATTATCATTATTATTTTGGGGAGATAGACATACACATACAACAACCTTAATTTTTTGGCATATATTGACAAAAATTGCTAACAAAGCATGTAATAAGTTCCCACACAGCATCTCCATTTTTTTTCTTATAAATAAATAAATTTCTCCTCTTTTTGGTACCAACCAAACTCTCCAAGATTCTATTCTAACAGAAAAAAGGGCCAATTAATTTCTCAAATTTTAAACACACACACACACACACACCAAAAAAAATGTCTAAGAAATTAGAACAAAGTTGCAGCAGACAACAAAGATGGTCTCTCCATGGCATGACAGCTCTAGTCACTGGTGGCACAAAAGGAATTGGGTATTTTATTTTATTTTTATTCATTAATTTTAATAACAATAGTATATAACTAATCAAATTTCTCTTGATTATTTAATTTGCTTGTTTTTCATTCTTTTTTTTTTTTCATTTATGATTATATTGAATCAATCCAATATATATAGGTACGCCATAGTCGAGGAGCTTGCCGGTTTTGGCGCGAACATTTACACGTGCTCGAGAAACAAAATCGAGCTCGACGAAAGGCTTAAAGAATGGGAAGACAAAGGGTTTAAGGTCAAAGGTTTTGTTTGTGATTTGACTTCAAGAACACAAAGAGAGGATCTTATGAGAAATGTTTCTATAGCTTTTGATGGCAAGCTCAATATTTTGGTAAGTATTTATCAACTATCAGGGGTTTTTAAGTTTCTTTTCTTTCTTTTCTTTCTTTTTTTTCATATATTTAAATATATAATAGCATATGTACAAAGATATTGGAATTAGGCAATTTGAGATTATTAATTAGATGAAAATTGTGTGTATAAGTGTGTATGTTTTTGGTTTTTGCTTCAATTTTATATGTTTAATCGTTGAACAAATATTTTACCTGGTGTTTAATGCAGACAAATGAACATTCATAGACTTGTTACTAACATAATAACTTTTTAAGAGTAATTTTTTAAAGTAATTTTGTAGCTGAATCAAATAAACCAATATATAGTAGTCTAGTAATTTCCAAAATTTACAAATTTATGAAAATTCAGTCGGATATTCGAACTTCTGTCGGAAATTTTAACGAGTCGATTTATGAACAAAATTCGATTTTTCGTAAATTTCTTGTGAAATTTAATTTNCATTAACTTTGCCTGGCTACAATAATAGATCAAATTGGATGACTTAATACTTTTTGGACACAAGTATATAAATTTAAATGAATTTTTGACAGCTATATATGCCACTGGTTTCAATTTTTCATACTGATCTTGATCTTAAATAAGGTGACATCATTGGTAGTTACATCTACCAATTACAGTGACATCATTAATATAATACAATAGCAGCTAACACGAAACTTAGGGTCATGATTAATACACTATTATAATCAAAGCTTAGAACTAATTAAAAATGAACTGATAATATGCTCACATTTGAAAATAAGAACTTTTATCTTAAACAAATCAGTTTTATTAATTCTGTTAGAAAGATACGTTATTTTTCAATTTGAGTTTTGAAAGATAACATATATTAATTTGAGACTCCAAACATATAGTCAACCATCATTTTGGACCTAAAAAAATAATTTTGATCCATCTTTTGAACCATTGAGTGACAAAAATCAATCTTAAATGATAATTTTATGTTTCTCCCCATGAATCAATGAACTTTATCTTGCAATTTTCTAATGTATAGTTAACTCATCGACACCCAAAATGATAGAACTCTTTAAAAACAATATAATTGCAGCTATAATTAGACAATAGTTTTTTAAAATTCATACACATGCATGCCTCTTCATCATATTAATTCATTCTTAACTAACTTATTATTGAATGCATGAATGGAAATTTATGTTTTTGCTTTCATATTTTTTTTTTTTTTGGTTTAATTTTCAGGTAAACAACGCCGGAATGACTATATTGAAGCGAACTTCCGACCACACGGCCGATGATTTTGGTCGGATTATTGGAACAAATTTGGAGGCACCTTTTCATATTTCTCAATTGAGTTATCCTATGCTTAAAGCTTCTAAATTAGGAAACATTGTGTTTATATCCTCTGTGGCTGGCTCCATTGCACTTCCTGCACTCTCTGCTTATGCTGCATCTAAAGGTGAATAATAAAAATTTTATATTCATTTACTTATTTGGAATGTATTTTTAGCTCAGCTCGTTTAATAAGCAAGTCAAAATTTCTGCTTGAGTTAGGCTCATTTAATATACAAAAAATCGCAAATGAGTTGTTCCACTACAAGAAATTAAATGATGAAATTTCAACGAAAATATATTACAATGAAATTCTAACATTGAAATATACTTTAATGTTATTATTTCCGTTGAATTTTTTTAATAGATTTCAGTTGAAATTTCAACAAAATATATTACGTCAGAATGAGTTTTCCATTCAAATTTTCATTGGAATATTTTAATGATTCAGATTATAAATTTCCCAATGGTGGAAATAAAATTCCAACATAAATTGTATATTACAAAAAAAAAAAGTTAAAAAATAGTCGTTGGAATAATCAATTTCCAATTAAAAACTCATTCCAACAGAATGTTTTCGTTGAAATTTTCATTGGAGTTATTCTAAAAGAAGTTATACCATTGTAATATATTATCGTATGATTTTTCGTTGGATAATGGATATGACAATTTTTTTGGTGCAAAACTAAAATTTGTTCATTTGTCGTTCGATACTTATGTTGAAAAAAAAATAGATGTTTGAAAGTGCTCAGCTCTCATTAATGGATAAACTTGTTTAGTTGTTTGAACTGGGCTCGTTTGATTAAACAATGAGTTGATCTTGAACTTTTACGAGCCCAACTGAGTGATGTTAACTAATAGTGTTAACTAATAGCTCCATTGGAAAAACTGAAAAAGTCAATTTCACTTCTAAATTGGATATGTTTGTTCAATTTTCAGGTGCTATAAATCAACTGACCAAGAATTTGGCCTGCGAATGGGCCAAAGACAATATTCGGACAAATACTGTGGCACCTTTTGGCGTTCGAACAGATACTATCAAACATCAACATGTATGTAATCTCCTCGTAATGTAAATTAAAATAATTAAATTACACATTCACCTGCAAATTCTTTTATTTACATATTGTTGTCATTTTTAATTTTACTTAAATATATACTAATTTTAATTATTTGTGATTTAGCTTATTATTTATTCTAAATTGAATTGTTTTTTAATTTATAAATGATTTGTGCATGATTTTAATTTTGAATTTCATATTTTGAATATCATATTTGAATTATACAAATAGGGATAAATTTTTTTTTTTTTTGAAAAAAAAAACACCAATTGTTTGCAGGAGGACACGGACCCATCAATTCTGGAGATGTTTGGACCGATAATGGGCCGGACCCCACTGGGCCGGATGGCGGAACCCGAAGAGGTGTCTTCGCTGGTGGCCTTTCTATGCCTGCCGGCGGCTTCTTACATCACCGGCCAGGTTATTCATGTTGACGGCGGCTTTACAGCTGGCAGCTACTAGCAGCAATTTCATTTTTTTTTCTCCATTTTAATTTTCTTTCCGTGTAATTTAAGACTTACCACACTCTTTATGTTTAAACTATTTTCATTAAAAAAAAATTTGATTTTTATTTAATTAAATTTAAATAATCACCATTAGTAGCCGACTGATACAATTATTATCTTCAATAGCAAAACTTATGAATCTCTAGAGATATTATTCGAGTAGAGTTTAAGCTTGTGATAAAATAACCAGCTCAGTTCAAGTTCGGCTTGACAAAAAGCTTAGTCCGACTTATATATTAGAAGAAAAAAAAAAAAGCAAAACCATTCATGAATTAATTTAATTAATATTTTGAGTTCATTTCATTTAGTCAAACGAACAAGTCAATCTTGAACTTTTACAAGTCAAGCACTTCGCATTTAAGCTCATGAAAGCCCATTCCTACTCCTTACAAAAAAAATTCAAAATCATTCACTTCGTATTTAAGCTCGTGTTAAATGAACCAACTCAACTCAAGCTTGGCTCGATTGAGCTTGTGAAAAACTTAACCCGACTCATTTAAAAAATGAAAACTCAAAATCATTCATTTCCTGTTTACTACGAACGTGTTAAATGAACCAACTCAAGTTCGGTTCATTTAAGCTCGTGATACTCAGCCCGTCTCACTTTTTCAATCATTTAATAAATCACCCAAAAGAATATAACATTGCAATGAGATATATTTTTTACTTAAAGAGTGAAAATCTTTTGATTGAAGAAAGATAATTCTAACTTGTCATAAAAATCAACAGAGAAAAAAAATAAAAAAAATAAAACCCAAAGTCTAATTAATCTCTCTTTTATTATACATAATTCTTCCACTTAATTTTTCAAGAGTATCAACTGTTCCTTTCACATACCACAGACACAAACCAACAATCAATACAGACACATTCATCACCCATACATCCTCATACCAATACTTAAATAAATCATAGCTAAAAGCAGTTAATAATGGTACAAATATCATATATACAGGATATATCATGTAAGCCATAGAAATCAGGACCGGAAAACCTTAAATCGAGCTTGAACTATGTGGCTCGTTTTGCTGCACGAGCTTCATCAGCGGCCAAAATATCTCCAGCCGGTGGAAGTTTCCAGTCGTCTGCAAGTAAACGACAAAAAAAACGAAACAAAAAAAAAAAAGAAAGNCGAACGTAACAAAAGTATAGCTTAAAAACCCATAATAATGGACGTTTTCGAAAAAAAAAAGAAAAAAAGAAAGCAGAAACCTCGACAATGAAATGGGCCCACCAAGAACCATCCGAGCTCTTTTCCATTGTTCCCTCGAGGATAGTTAATTCCAAACGATGAATAACATCGGCAATCTCCAGAAATCGATTGCAGTCCGTACAGACCATCTGGTTTTATATAAACACAAAAATAATTTTCATTACTATTTTCTTGAATAAACAAAATTTTATTCAAGAAAATGAAGATATATATACATTGATATGCGTGTATACCTGTATCATCATTTGTCCGGGTTGATTGAGATCCTTCACAACAATGGGGCACGACTGTTTTTCACTTCCTAATTCTACTGCCCAGCTTTTTCCCTTCTCAATGTCAGCTGGTTTTCTAGTTTTATCTTCATCAACTTCCTAAGAATTTGTTTGTTTATTAATTTTCTCAATTCATACTCATATCATATTCAAAATCTAACTCAACCTCATTATCCTCAATATTAGCAATATAATAAAATAATATCAATCAATCATTCTTACACATCACATCCATTTTAATTCACTATTCATCCACTTAACTAACCATAATTTCACATCATCTCTCCTACTTTTATATCAAATCAACTTTAATTATTTTATGTTAAATATTATTTTAATATAAATTCAAATTCCACTAATGACTAACCATACCACCATTTTCAAAATTAACTCTGATTAACCAAAAACACTCATTTTGAGCAGATATATTTGTATCCAAGCATGCCCTAAAAGAAAAATTCAAGATACGACTACTCCGGAAAACAAATCGAGATAACGAATGGGATTTTCTGATATTATTACCTGTTTGTGATGTCTCAACTTATCAGCTCGCTCGGTTACGTTTTTTAAGAAGAGCATGTGCTTTATTGTCTTATCTAGAAGTCCATCAATGCTACACTGCATCCAAAGAAGAATTAAAAAAACATGTCAAACATAGTTTTATCGAAACAAAAATGAAGGAAAGATATACAATTAAGAGTGAGATAAAATTGTCATGTCAACAATGCATTTTTATAGTCATGTTGGTTTAACGTCATAGCAACTTTAATCACAAGATTCTAACTTTTTTCGTATTTTTTGTCCCCGGTGACTTAAATTGCAATAAAAAATCTATAAATTTAGGAATATGTTACAATTTATGACTGAAATTGCGGTAGAATACTAAATCACAAGACCGAAAGGCGAAAAGGTTGAGATCTTGGGACTAAAACTGCTATAACTTTAAACCAGCAAGACTAAGTTTAACCAATAGCCATACATTTTCACTGTTTGGCACAAGGTCCCGAAGCTCCTTGAGTCGCTCGTTCATCAGCTGTCTATCGCGCGGTTTAGGCCTCTGAACGTTCCCCTTGCAAGCCTTTCTCTTTTTGGTAATCGGTAATTTTGATAAATTACTTGAGTCTAATTTTTTTCTCTTTGGCTGCTGCTCGTCAGAAAATTCGCCACCTTTGGCCGATTCAGATGCCAATAAGTCACAAGGAAGTTCATATTCTCTGACCTGAGCATTTTTTTCGGATATGTCGTATTGTCTGGGAGAAGCTAAATAATTTCCCGATGAAGTAATGCTCGACTTGTTGGATGAATTATCGTCAGGATTTCTAGAAGGGATAGCAACGGAAGCTTCCATTTCAATTATAGGGAATAATCTATTCAGTTCAAAGTCTAAATCACAAAAGGCGCTTTCAAATATATTTTCACCTTCACCAAAGGGAAAATCCATTAAAAATATATCATTCTCAGTCGTGAAGGGCCCATGATCTTCATACGTCGGCTGAGATTGTTCGGTCCAATTAATCGTGGGCATCGTTTGTTGTTGACCGAAGTCAACTGCAGAAAAATTTTCGAGCATATCGGCAACAAAACTCGAGTCTGAGTTGCCAAAATCTTGAACGGGAAGAAAAGTGGTATTTTGATTGTCCGATGATTCGTTTAAATCATCTGGAGAATTAAAAATCGTCATCAACGGCTGAGCCGCATATTCAGAGCCGTACACAGAGAGTGATATTTGGGCCTCAAACTGGTTTTTGACATGAGCAACTAAAGCTGAATCTTCAGCCACCTAGATCAATCATTCATTGGCGAATAAA